CCTCCTCCTTCGTAGACGGAGGAGTCCTTGCTTCAATAAAGCTGTTCCCTTTCTAAAGCTCTTATGCAAAGATAAACCACATGGCCTAGGAAAGAGTTTCAGACACTTGGTTTTCAGTATGTCTTGATGGCTGTTGACAGCAATTTGTCATCTACAAAATCAAACAAACTTACTTAAAAAGAAATTTCCTTTAAAGAACATTTTTCAACAGATAAAATAATAAAGAAATAGAAGAGTAGACTAGAGTAGAGAGTAAAGAATTGTAAGAGTTTTGCAAAATATAGAGGGCTGTTATTTACTTGATTTATAGTGATTATAAAAATAGTATCCCAACACAGGCTTAGCCATTTTTTTTAAAAAAAAATCCAGACTTTCTGGAAATGTAGGTGGAGAACTGAGCTCAGGACTGGTCATACCAGGATTTGGCAACATGAACCACCAGGGCTCCATGTAGGCTTTAAATCCCATTTGGGGATTCTTCAAAGCTACTATTCAATATAGTTGCTAAAACTAACATAGTTTCTAGCCACTTTGAAGTGAGAAATGTTAAAACAAAATAAAGTAAGCCCTAAAAGAAATTTAGTCAGCATTAAAAAATAAAACAAAAAAACCCTCCCCAAACTCAAAGGAAATTCATTTGAAAAACCTGGTTCCACTCAAACCCTTGTCATTAAAAGTTTGCCTGCCCCTATACCTAAACGTTCCTACTTTCAATCAAAAGTAAATTAGAATATTTTTAATTATTTCAGCTTGTTCATGTTTAATGATGTCTCTCAAACTACACAATGGTATGTAGTAAAAAAAAGGTGAAGCTAAAAGACACAAATCTTTACAATATTATTTGGTTGTTCCTATATAAACGCAGGATACTGTAGTTCTGTGATAGATGTCTCTTGCATAAGAAATGCTGGTTTGAGAAAATAGTTAAGTTCTGCAAAATGAACCTTGTTCTTTCCTGAGTTTTAAGCCTATATGACAATGGAGCAGAACTTTAGTGTAGTGGATTCCTTTAAAATCTCATGCATTTATTTTACTAAATGACTGAGCAAAAATACTGTTGGTAATCTTAGTTGGTAAAGCTAGAAAATCTGACAAATCCCCTTGAAATCACAAGATCTGCTTTATTCTAAATTTGGTTAGCTTTTAGTTATCCTTTTTTATTATAAAGCTTTGTTTTGTAAAATAATAATACCCTAATAATGACTGAAGGCAAACAAAGCTTATCTCCCTAGCCAACAGCCAAGAACTCAGAAGATTAAAAAGCATAATGTGGATGGTCATGAATTCTAAAATATTCACTGGGAATAGACTCACTCTGTCACACCATACTAAAGTTATTTTAAAAATTCTTCTTCCTTTATCTAAAAATAAATAGTTTATATTTGGTACAACAGTGGTGATTTTTTTCTTGCCAATCACTGTATGATAAGCCTGATCCAGCATTAATAGCTTGATAAATATACAAATATTTTCCCTAGCAGTTGATTACTTATCTAATTTCTTTAAAACCAGTATATCAATAAATTAATTAGACTGTATTACAATCAGGTCCAAGGCTAGTAAAATTTATTCCTATGAGGAACTTTGTGGTTTATTGATTACACTAGTGCACCTGTGGCAGTATTAATTTCAGGTTTTGTTTTGGGGCAGAAGAAAGACATCATTTAATAAATAATTTAGTATTTGTATATTACCAAAATGTACACAATAACAACTGTAGCTACAGTAGACTATTTTGTGTTTTATTGGGTGCAGTTTATAAAATACAATATTACAAAACTTTTGACAGGACGTTTTAGTGAGTCACAAAATGAATGCGTGCCAGAAACAATGAACATTCTGGTGTGCTTTATTATCTTTTCCTGCCTGTAAAAAAATTGCAGTTGATAATTACAGTTGGTACAGCTTTTATCTTTATTGAGAGATAAACTAGATAGATCTGTCATGCCTATTGCTAATTACAAGTAGCAAGAACTGAGACAGAAGGAGTAGGGAATCCAGATTGAGGCAAAGACATGAGGGAAGTGGTAGTTAAACCTTCATCTCTCTGTAGTCCCAGCTGAAATTACATGTCCATTGAATCTGCTATTCACAGTGGGAGCTTTTTACTTACATAGCATAACTAGGAAAGAGAATTAACTGTTTTAATCTGAATTTGGATTCTTGACACTGCAATGGGTATTTGATTTTAAAATAAAATAAAACATTTATTTTAAATCACATTTAATTTAGCCCTTAAGAATCATTTGACATATGCTAGAAAGAGTATACTTTCTGTATACTCTTTCTGTATACTAAACTATACTTTCTGTTCATAGTTTAGCGTCCAAAAATGTGGCTATCCACTCTGATTTCATTGAAACAAGTTTGGTTGAGTTTCCAAAACTTTCATCTGTTCAGAGGACATGAATATTTGTATGCATTGAATGTTTGTATTATGTTATTACTCAAAAATCTCTGTGCCTTTTAATCTCCATTTTTTTTCCGTGCCCTTGAGATAAATGTCTAATTCCATATTTATTTCAGGTTGATCTAGTTCCTAGAGATGCTGGAGACCATCGGCACTAATTTTAACATTTTACTCTAAATTTATAGGGAGAATATTGAATGATTTATCTTGAATGATGTATCTCCTACTGATGCTTTCTTCCATTCCCAATGCACTCAGTTCTCTTTTAATGGGATAACAAATGGAAAATTAACCTTCCATAATTAAAATGTTGAATTCAAACTAGCCTATGTTTCAAGGTTTGCCTGGAAATTTTCCTTATGTATGTTTCAAAAATGCATTTTACTTCTTTCTAACTTCACCCTCTCTTTTACTTTCTCCCCACAAAACTCTCTTAACAGTTCCTCCAACTGTTGAGGAGTAAAAATCAGAAAGTTTTCAATCCAGGGAGGTTTAGTTGGATTGCATATCCAACTACACGACCTTAATCAGAATTTAGCCTAGCTATGAATTCTGCTTTCCTCTTAACATTTTTAAACCTGGTTTTTCCACCAGTGTTGGAACTAATTGCTTTTCCCATCCCCTCCCCCCTTTTTTTTCTTTAAAAAATCCTGGGAATTCAGGCTCACATTTCACCCATGACCTGTAGTTTCCTGTACTAAGAACAACATATCCTGTGCCACTTGGGTTTGGTTTCTTTGAAAATTGATCACAGCTGGAGAAACAGGGAAATCAGATTAGCACAAAATAGTAAACATCCAGAAACCAGCATATGCACTATTTAATAGTATAAGAAAAAAGTGGGAAGATGATTTTAGAATGTGGATGTGTGGAAAAGAATTTTTGCAAGTCTTGCAAAAATGTCTGAAATACCTAGACATTTATCTAAGTTTTTAATTTAAAAACAGCAAATTCCACCTCAAGTTTTATAAGATTCCAATCTTTAGTTTAAGTCCTACCTTACACCAATTCATTTTTAATATTAAAGTGGATCTAATGGATAAATTAAATACATATAATAGTATGGATGAAAGCTGACAGTTATTATCTGTATAAAAGGAGAAACCTGAGTTCAGTAGGCCTTAAAACCATGTAAGCTATTGGTAAAGATCCACTTCTTCATAATCAAGAAAGTTCTTTTCTACTCAATCCTCCTCTGTCTCCAGGACATTCCAAAGACAGCTGATTTATGTCAGTTACAGTTTAATTGACTCTGAGCCCAATGCCACCAATGGCCATTACAAGGTTCCTATCCACAGAATATAAAGAATGCTCCCTTTTAGGCTCTGGACAACCTTTTAGAATACAGCTGTGGGAACAATTTGTTTCCTGCTAGTGCTACTCTCTAATGAACTGCCCACAAATCAATGGTATAACACAGTGGTAGGCAACCTTGGCTCTTTTATGACTCATGGACTTCAATTCCCAGAATTCCTGAGCCAGCATGGCTCAGCTTGGAAACCTCTCCCTTTCCCCTCAGCATGGCTGGCTCAGGAATTCTGGGAGTTGAAGTCCAGGAGTCATAAAAGAGCCAAGGTTGCCTACCCCTGATATAACACATAAAAAGACCAAAAGAAAATACAAAGGAAGGACTCCTTCACATTAGTCAGAATTAATCTAACCCCAACTTGCGTTCACACAGGTAGCCCTTACATGAACACTTGATCCCTTTGCTTTTAATAGGATTACATGTTTGAGTAATGCCAACTTGTGTGCTTATATCGAAACATCTGATCCTAGCTGCTCTTCTACAGCCCCTGGCATTATCAGGGCAGTGATTCTAATGCCAATTCTGAACTGTTTCTGTCTGTCTAACATTCCTTTTTAATCCCCATCCTGCCTGCCCCTCCCTTATGTAGGGTTACTTTAGTGATCCTTGGAATATTTTTGACTTCCTCATCGTAATTGGCAGCATTATAGACGTCATTCTCAGTGAAACTAATGTGAGTATAACTCTACCCTCCTTAGGATGCCACCAAATCCTCCTTCTCTTCTTCTGTACTTGTTATCTTCTCTTTTTTTATGGTTTATGTTTTCTTCCCTCTAATCATGCTTTTATTGACCTTGCCGTCGTCCTTCTCCCAGGGGGGGAAAAAAGGAGGAGGGTTGAAGACCTCCTTTCTTTTCACTGGTCACAAAATTGTGGCTGGTGAAAGCGCACAGAGATTGGGGTATGTGTGCTTTTTTCCCTCCCCAAAAGATGAAACAAAACCAAACCACACATGTCTGAGTGTAACTTTCTAACTAACCAGGTTTTTATTGATACCCTCCATCATGTTACAGAGGTATGAGCAACCAGTACTTTAGAGTGGTAAGAGAGTTTTTACTATGCCCGCATAACCTCTTTCTTTCCTTATTTTTTTCTCTTCTCTCCCTCTTTCATGCTTTATTTATTTATTTATTTATTTGTTTGTTTGTTTGTTTATTTGTTTTGATTTTTCTTTGGGGGTTTTTATACCCTTTTTCCTTCTCTCTCCTGTTTGTTTTCTTCTTTCTCTTCTTTTTTCTTTCTTTTTTTTTCCCTTTTTTTTGGTTTCCCTGACACATGCAGCACTATTTCTGTGATGCATGGAATACATTTGACGCCTTGATTGTTGTGGGTAGCATTGTTGATATAGCAATCACCGAGGTGACCGTAAGTAGCTGGCGTCTGTCCATGAATGTGCCTGCTCTTAATATTCATTTGTCTTTTCTGGGTTTTTTAATCTCTTCTTTTTTTACTCTCTTCCCTTTTTTCTCCCTCCCTTTTTATTTAAAGTTTTTTTTTAAGGATTGCTTATTTTCTTCTGTTTTTGTTTATGCTTGTTTCTTTATGTTTTAGAACAACTTTGAGGATTTTCTGACTGTTGCATCATTTTCTTTCCCTCATAATTAGCCTGGCATGAATAAAAACTGTATAGTAGAAAAATCTATGAAAAGTTTGTGGAGTGAATGCACAATAAGCAAGTTTCTGCCCTAGGAAGTTGTAGAAATAGTCAAGACTGATTTCAAGACTGATTTTCCAAAACTGTTAAATTTCCTACGGCAATGAACTACTTGCCATTTCACAAAGAATTATAGGGCAACTCTTTCGAGGTGGAATAGTTGGAACCAGATATGGAGAAAAAAAATGCCAAGACCTTTATTTCTCCAAGTTCTTTTCTTCAATCTTGAATCCACAAAACTTCACAACTACGTTAACATTCTATAATACTATGTTATACACTAAATGAAATTATATTATTTGTCTCTTAATTATTTATGAAAAAGAAACTTCATGAGAGGAGGAATTACTCTAAATTTTACAAAAATGATTAGAACCAGAATATTTTGGCACTGCAAAAGTTATCTGTATGATTTGTTCACTATTTGGCATCTCTTCAGTGTGGGTATCTACAGAGATCTTGACCAGCTGCATCTTATAGTGATGAAAAGAGATACCATTCATTATCATAAGCGGAGAGAATTATGTTTGGCAGAATCCATTATTTAATTATAACACCACCCCAATACTATTTACAATTTCAAAATATTCGGTTAAATTTTACTGAGCTAATTCCCATTCCAGATAAAATTCTGATTTGGAACTGAGATCAGATAAATTAATCACACATATGTTCCACTCTTCATAGGACAGCCACATTATTTAGCAGGAAAATATGTGAAATATAACATTGACTGATTGTGCAGGTTTCTATAACCCACCCAAAACAACAGACTGTGGGCAGGTTACATGTTAAAATATTAATAAGCAATCATAAGAATAAATTAAATTATTTTTAAAAGTAGCAATGCTTTTAACAATATTAGTAATGACGCAAATAATAAATGGCCTCAATGTGTACACCAGGAGAATCCTAAGCTAGGGTTGAAAAGCCAGTAAAATAAAACTGCCTTTTAAGAACTTCTCAAAAACATGAGGGGAGGCAGTTTATGGATCTCTAGGAGTGTTGAGTACATTTTCTAAACATTATACACTACACTGAAGTACATTTAATTAAAGTTTGTTAAATATGGGACAGCAGAGACAGCAGTTATTTATAGAGCAGAAAAGTTGACTAGGGCTATTTTTCTTCCCAGTACCAAGTAGCTTTGAAGTGTTGCAGCTGACATTAATATTGGTTCCACTTCACCTCTAAAGAATACCCTTCTACTATACAGGCCCTAAAATTTTTGCATACGTCTTTTTATTACCTGGCATGTTTGAAGTTTCTCTTTTAATCTTTGCTTTGATTCTAACATTTCTTATTAAGCTATTCATTTTGAATTTCTTCTAACTTTTTTGCATATCTGATGCACTGATAATTTGCAATCAATTAAAGATGGAGTTTGTTCTGAAATGTTTGAAATCATATTATACATATTCATATAGAATAAGAAACTGAATGGCCTTTGGTATCAATTTGTACCTTCAAAAATAATCCTGCTCTGTGGCAGTCCACCCAGCCACCCAACAAATAGGCATTGTTTTTTGCAGATCAAATTGAAAAGATTCCCTCTTCACTTACCAATTGCATCATCCCTTTGTCTTTCCTACCATGAAAGTTTTGCTTTGCTCCTGGTTTTTGAGCCTGAACATATCTGTCTTGCGTGCCTGTATGCTGGCTTGCTCTGCACAGACTGGAATGGTGGGTGGAGGGAAGAAGAAAAGGAACATTTCTGAATATACACAATATTAGTTTTGTGCTTGATTCAAAATCAGATAGCATATGATAGCCTATAGCCTATATTAACCAAATAAATTAGTCTGTAATAGATCTCTAAAAATTGTTGCAAAAGTAACACTTAGGTTTGTATAAAATGAGCCTTTCTTAGCATTAATTACTTTGTCATGAAAGGTGATGGATGTATTAGATAGGAACACTGTGAAGTCTCATCTACATAGACTTTGCCATGCAGAAACAATTTGACTGGAAAGCATTTAATCACCAGAAAAGCAGAAGGCAAGGGTAAAAAAGTCAGATGGACGAATCAGTGGGTGTATGTCAGTGTGCGTGCACAAGTGTGTATATGTATGTGTGTGCACGTGTGAATGAATTAAAGTGTTCTACAGTCAAAACTAAATTTCTTTATAGTACAAGATAATATTTTTATAACTTTTTAACAATTTTGAAAAAAGATGTATCTTTGACATTTTATCTTTAAAAAAACAGAATAAATAAATATGTGTTAATATTTCTGTTCTAAAATTCACTTACATTTAATACATCAATTACAAATCTTAATAGGATATATGAGTTTATATATCACAATATATTACCTCAAGTGATAGAGCGGCATTTTTTTTAAAAAAATAAATAAAATAGTGTAAACTTCAGCCTATTTCAATATTTGGTTTTGGAATATTTAAGTACTGAAAATGATCTTTCAAGTATATATTGAAAGATAATAGTTGTCAGAGTCTTTTAACTTAAACCTTATATTCAATAACATTATTAAATTAAAATTTTCAAATAATTTCAGTGTGATGACAGAAGAAATCTGGCAATTATTCTTCTTTATTCATGAATAGAGAACTTTCATGTCTAGTGAAACTGAATGGATCCAAACTCCATAAAATACTTATTTTGGATTTGGAGTTATTCAGGAAACACTGATTTTCCATCTAATGTATTTTAAGAAATATTGCTGTAGGAAGATCACAAAAACTTGTGCTTTGAGTAAGCTAAAAGCAGTGCTTTGATGAGTATACAAAGGGAATATTTATGACTATCTGGTCCTGAAATAGTAGAAAGCATGTTCAGACAAAAAGGAAAAAAATCTACAGTTTATTGAATAAACCTCAATTCATCATAAAGCTTAAATTATTTATCTCATCTCAAATTCAGTTATTGAATCTTATATGGAGATCTAGCCATAACCATTTCTTATTTTTGCCATATGTGCAGAACCATACTCAATTCTCAGAGTATAAAAATATGAAAACCAAGGAAGAAATGCAGCTTTCCATCTGCTTCTGATTCCATCTTTATACAACTTTCTGATTTCCCAATCAGCTTCAAAAGTACCAGTAAAATTAAAATGAACAAAACAAGTAAAGACAAGTTACTGTATTTTTCAGAACCTTCAACATGAAATCTAAACTAAAATATATCAGGACAGTTGTAAGAACTTTGAAACATTGCAGATCAGAAACACAAAAATTATAAAAACTGGTAAACAAGGAATTACTGTACATTATTGGCAGTTTGCTACCAAGTGATCTAGCAAAAAGAAGATTTTGCTGAGATTGCTAATTAGGAAACAAATGAACAAAACAGAATTGCCCATAGCTCAAAGGTCCAAAAAATGGATAAAAAATCATGGACCTCCATGACAGAAAAATGGGAAACACGTGCAATAGATAAGAATTTTCCAGTACTAGAAAGTGGCTTCTAAAACAAACATGCTCTGTTCTTCCTTAGAAATAATAAGTTAATTCCTGAAATTATTCAGTTAACTTTTTTTTAAAAAATTCTAGATAATTCAGAAATACCTTTTATATACCAGCCTTCCCCAACCTGTTGCCTCTAACCATTGGACTATAATTTCTAGCTGTTATGGTATGCAATCTGGATCATTTTTCTCCTGTATATAACATTTTTCAGTGTTATAATCTTTTTGTAACGGGAAGTATATTTGCCCACCCCCATCCCAACACATACACATATCCTTGACTGTGGTATAATCCATTGTTGGATTGGCAAGACATGCTAATAAAGCCTTTAGTGCTCCATTCAACGTGGCATCTGGAGCAATGCTTTTTGGAAACATTTCTAAAAAAAAGTGTTCTTGGAAGATATGCACTTTTGTTACCCTTCAACAGCTGCACTGCACATCTTTCTCCAGGTAAAACTATGAATTAGTATTAATTCATTAATTATGCAACACAGGGTCAAAATTCATTTGTGTATTTTAGATTAAAATATACACAGAATGAATAATTCAAAAATAGTCTTTTAGATTCGTATTACGTGAAATTACACCTTTCAGTATGGATTTCAATATGAATGTTTATCCAGATTTTTTTTCAATTTGGACTAAACTGAATACAGTACAAAACAAATGTATAAACTTGCAAAACTGGGGAAAAAAGAACAAATATATATTAATCAGTTTGTGGCATGCTGCTGCTTTGGGTAAAAATTAAGCATCATAAATAAAGCATTGGGAAAAAGAAGTCTAGAAGAGATTTGGAAAACCCCAGAATTTTTCTTTATGAAACGGAATTTCCTAGTAATTAAAAAAAATTTGACAATATGTATTTGTGATGTACTGAGAAGATTTCAGTCTGTAGCATAATTAGACTGTAGAACAGATCATGTACAGTACTGGTATGTAGAAATGGTTCTGCAAATATATTTTATAATTTCAATAGGGCTAGGTTCTAATTTTGTGTGTGTTGTGTGTGTGAAATGAGTCGATGTGTATATCTGTTTACTTCCTTTTTATTGTTTCACTTTTGAGCATATTTCAAATAGTCTAAATCATTTAACAGTCATCTATTTGTCTGTATATCTGAATGTAGGTGTATCCCTTAGGGCTTGTGCACACATAAAATTTACTCCTTGTTAAACTGCTTTGCTTACCTTTAGGGAGCAGCACGCTAGCTCTAAGATGAGCTAGAGTTAATTCACTAGAGGTAAGTGAGATTTCATTGGGGAAACTAGTTTCCACAGGGCAAATGACATCCACTTTGGGTAGACAGTGTGTGCACAAGCCTTAAAAATGTAATTGAGCTTGTATGTGGATGCCTTTGTAATTGTCTAGATGCCTAACATGCTTGGCATGTAATTCTCTTGCATTAGAGTGGATGTGCCTGTACTGCATGTGCGTGTTTAGTGCATGAATAGAAATTACGGACACATGAAACTACTCTTTAGCTACATTCATTTCAAATGAACTGTATTGTCACAAATTTCCACTGAAATCACTGCATTGTCACAAAAACAAAATCCAATATTAGTGGTGTGCCACTTTTTCAAGGTGTAGGTCTCTGAGTGTAGGGTAGTAATCGCTATAGGATGTGTCTTCTCAGTTTACCCTTTGCAATAGTTGGAAACCAAATTTTACCTAAGAAGCCACAGTGGCTTCTACTAAGTTGAGATGTTTACAAGCTTGTTACTTTTCTTCCAAGGTCCTGAATACAAGATTTAAATCCAACCTATGCAACTTTACTTGGAAGTAGGTAGTACTGATATTATTTCTCAAAAAAGGTGCACAAATTCACATGCTTAGATTCCTAATGTTTAGATGCCTCTTGGTTTTTTTAGCCTTTGATTTACTGGTTTCATTTTATTTTCTTGCATCTTATTGATTATTGTTTAATGAAGGGGTTATATTTCTGCCTGGTTATGCACTCATTGCTGGATTATGCCCAGAATATGCTTTGTTATAGACTGTTTTCCTCAGCCTCTGAGATTAGAGCAGTAAATGACTAGTTCCCATGCTGTCCAAATTGTCTTCGCTCTCTGCTTGGCAACAATAATGTTTCTTTAATTGCACAAATGTATAATCCACTGAATAGGTTCTGACAGGGCAGAACCAACTCTGATCAGCCATTAAGATGTCCAGTGGGCTTCTTTCCCAAAATGAGTAGTTGTAAACCACTGATTAGTGATTTGTTTTTAGGTGTCATCTGAAGGCATTATAATGGCTTACTTCTATTCAGTAGAAGCTCTTATGCTTCATTCAAGGCCAGGCTGTGTCATCCAAAAGTAGTCATAATTAAAAAGGAATTTCTAAGTTTAACAGTGAATAATAAAAAAATAAAATGACTGAAATTTTTAACTTATTTCAGTACTCAGTGGTTAAAATGCAGTATTGCAGGCAAAACTGCCCATAACCTCCTATTTTGTGAGAAATGATGGTAAATGGAAGTTTCTCACTGTACTTTTTTCTGAGGAACTGTTTCATTTGGGAGAACTATCACATTTTATGAACTTAGGAAAAAGGACTTTTGGAATGCAATTTCCAAGTAGCAATAGTATGAAATTTGAAAGATGTAACATTGAGTATGGTCTTTAAAAAGGGATTCGATTACAAGTATTGAGAATGGTTTTCTCCATTGATACATATTTAGTATTTCTCGTTTCTTAATTCATACCTGAATAAATAACTCCTCTGTCTGAGTAATAAAAGAGGCTTGTTAATCCACATGGAGATCTTTTATATATCTTTTCGAACATTACAAAATAGGAAAACATAGCTAATAGAATAGAAAAAAATAAAAATAAATTTAAAAATAATAAAACATCAGAATTCAAATCTAGGAATCTATTGAAAGAACTCTAGTGTTTTGTTAACCCTTGTTCCCTGTTTCCCAATATGTTATTTTTAGAGCAGTGTATAGTTAAAGAGCAGGCTGTTTAGAATAATTTTAGGCACCTATGCTGCCGCCTGCCCCCCCCCCTCCCCATTTGAGTCTTTTCCCCAACGTCAGCAAGGCAGAGTTGCCAATAAAGCTGCAACCTTGAAACAGATGTAGGAGGAGAATCCAGGAGATTTGTGTTTTGGAAGGTCTGCAGCCATCAGCTAAGAAGAAAAGCAGCTGAATAAAAGGTGTTTTTCCTTCAAAGGGAGGAGGGAGAGAGAGAGAGAGAGAGAGAGAGATATGCATCATACCAAAACCGCGCCCACCCCATTGCCGACAATGGGGAAAAAGTTGCAATACGTCACGCAACGTCACGTAACGTCGCGAGTTTGACATGCCTGAATTAAGACATAAAGCAGTGCAGGATTTGTAAGAGGTGTTGCTAGTAATATTAAAAAGGAAATGAAGAATGCAAATAGCTATCCTATCAGTATAGTATAGAGGATATGTAATAGAAATTGAAGTATAACAGAGCATAATAATTATAATAATAATCATAATAATTAGCATAATGTAGAAATAGCAGTAGAAGAAAATATTGGATAAAGACAATAGAAAGCACTCACATATAAATTTATACGTTTCACATTTCACTTTTGTATTTTTATTTTTTTTTTCAAAATAAACATCTCCCCAACTTGTATAGGGAGATATAAAGAAAGACTACCTTTCCAGGATCGAATATTTTCTGAAGAAGAACCTGTGAAAAGGTGCCTTTATTTTAATTGAATAAAGCAGATGTTCTCCATTAGGCACATATGAAAGCGCTGCTTATATGTGCTGAGATTGTATGTCCTTGTATTTGCAAAAGTATGGATGTTCTGTGAAAGGCAAGTAAGGTTTATCTACTTCTGCATGGCTAGCAATGTTTGTCAATGCATCTATGTAGCTATCCTTAGCTTGAATAATATATTTCAGATATATGTATGGTTGCATTTAAGGAGGATGTAAGGCTTTGAGCATATCAGTCCTAATTTTATGCCAACTGTGTCTTAGCTTCAAGTATTTGCATGCAGGAATTTCAGGGGGGAGGGAGGGAGGGAGAGAGAGAGAGAGATGAGGATGTAACTATCCCCTAGATAGTTAGGAATATCTATTCCTACATTGCTTTCTAACAAGGCTATTAATACTTTACCGAAGCAATTAAAAATACCTGTTCCTGGGGAAATCAAATTTCTTGATATACTGCCAAAAATAAAGTTTTCTTCTGAGTTCTTTTAAAGGATCAGTAGATTTGGTGGCTGTGATCTACTGCCAGTTCAGAGATTCAGTATCTTCTCCATGTATTGTGTTCTGATCCCTGAGAACCCATGTCCATATAGAAGAGAGTGTTACCACGCCCATTCACAGGTACAGCTTCAGGTTTGTAACTGTGATTCCTGTAAGGAGATCACAAAGCAAATTATTGCTACACGCTTAGAAGAGGCAGCTATATAAATATTCCAAGCGGCATTCAAATGTCTCCCTAGAAAAAAAAAATGAAATGTATATTACCAATAGTTTTGGGGAGGTTTCTGAAATGATTCTAAGTCAGAAGCAAATACAACTTTTAAAAACCTTTGTCAAACCCCACATGTTTTTCCTCATTTGGTGCTGGTTTATTTCAGATTAGGGCAGGAATGGGAAATCCGATGCACAAATGGTGATTTACAACCTCACTCAGTCCCAGCACACTTGGTCAGTTTTGACTATTACCATTCCCCAAAATATCTATGGAATATAGATTCCCAGTTCATACTCCAGGCAAATAAGAGATCTATGTATTATAATAATAATAATAATAAAGTTGGAAGGGACCTTGGAGGTCATCTAGTCCAACCCCCTGCTCAGGCAGGAAACCCTATACCATACATATTATAAATCCAGAAATATCAACACAAATGTTCATATCCTTGGTAATTCATTTTTCCATTTATTCCCAGTGGTACTGTGCATCTTTCTTCCCTCCCTTTCTCCATTTCTACTTTTTATGACCTCCTTGCCTTTGTCATTCAAGTCAGGCCAAATATCTGTCAGCCAATTTTCAGCAACAATCAAAGTTTCTGAAAGTTTCTGAAAATGACACTAAGGCCAAAGGTCAGCTGGGGACAAGAGGTAGAGCTCTTTGCATTAAAATCTCAATGATTCTGGAAACCTAGGTGGGATTCTAGCCATAAACCAATTTATGTGTAGTTTCTATAGAAATCAATGAGACATGTTTCTCTAAAAACGGCTTTTAAGATTGAAATGACATATTTATATTTAATGTAGGCTGGTTTGAAATATGGCAGCTTCTTCTCTTACTAGTCCCCAGTAGGCGGCTTGAGGATTGTGGTCCAAAACAGCCCCAGTCTTGCAGTGGAACAAGGACTGGTGGAAGGACAGCATGCATCTAATCCTTGGCCTTTTTTTTCAGATTCTGCACTCATCTAAGTTGCTCTGTCTGCTCATTACTCTGATGCTCAGTATCTTATCTTCTAACTTTTCCAGTCCTTTGCTATAGAGCTGATATTGGGAAAAAAATCTTTGCTTTCTACATACGTGTGAATATATTGTTCCATGAGAACATTATTTTAAAAAATACTTCCTGCAAAACTGGTGTGAGAAGAGCAAAGTCCTCCAATATATATAGCAAACAAAGGACAGGAGCAGCCCAACACTTTCTTTTGACATTCTATATTATTATTCTCACTGTGTTGTTATCTTAATAATTATGTTATTTCTGACATCTGTGTATTGTATTTATGCGCATGTTCAAATTGGAGTGTTTTGGAGTTTTAATGAGTATTTGGGAAAATAGTTATGATTTGTGTTTGTTTTTGTGTCAGGTAGATTATTCTACAAAGAATAATCAAGCAAAGCCATTGAGTGCAGAATTGGAAATTACTCATCTATAAGGTCTTACAAATGTATGGACACTGCCAGTGTCTATATAGGAGTTCCTATGATCCAGCAATGAGACTTAGGCAGTGTCATATTATTAGAAATTGATTCAAATATGCAAAACAAGCTACTAAATGTAAACATACTTCTTGCATAATATATGGAAATCACCAATTTTATTTTATTTTTTTTGTGTAGAAGCAAAACTTATTTTTTTCCAAGAAAGAATGTTTGTAGCTCTAGCAATGTTTGTGGTACCTAATATTGGATCCAAACTAATTCACACATCTGGAAGGACCTTAGATTGTGAAAGGCTGATCTAAGGGAGTTCATGTTTCCTATATGAAAAAAAACATTTATTCTGAGTGTGTTATGTTAATGCTGTAAGATTATTTTTCAAGTCATAAATCTATAAGTAACTGAAAAAGTAACAGAATCATTTATTTTTTTAAAAAAAAAATTTGCATACTGCTTCTGATCTAAAATCTCAAAGTATATTACAATAAAAATATAACTCTTAAAATTAGGAAGGATGTAGTAAAATGAGCCACCCCTACAGCTTATATATAATATTTAATATTTTAAATACTAACTATTCGGTTTTCCAAACATTCTCACTTTTTAATAATAGAGTGGGGAAAAACACAAGAGCAGAATCTATTCAATTTTTCCTTGGTAGCACATAACAAAGATTAAGTTCCATCCTATCTGATACTCTCCAGATATTTGAGGTTTGTTACTTCCAGAATTACCAGCCAGTATGGTCAACAGATTGTAATCTCAACTTTTCTGGAGGATGTCACGGTAGGGAAGACTATTTCAAAGCAATTTCATTTTACTGATTGAGCTTGCATTTAATTTGCAGCCTTTAAAATGAATCAAAATTTTACATGTTACAATGAAATATAGCGTTACAATTATAAATCAACTTAATTTTGTGGGATAGATCAACTGTAGCTCGCATGTTATCATTTTATGTCTAGGTCCTTGAGATAAAAAGATGAAACTGTAACAGATTATGTACCTGAATTCCTCTAGAGCCATATCTGTTAAGCTATGACACTATACAGATAATCTTTAACTTAAAACTATTCATTTAGTGAAGGTTTGATGTTACAATGGCACTGAAAAAAGTGACATAAGACTGGTCCATGCACTTAAGACCATTGCAGTATCCCCATGGTCACGTGATCATAGTTGGGCTGCTCGACAAGCAGCATACATTTATGAAGATGCTAAGACATTCAAAGTTACGTTTTTAAAAATAAGTGCAGGTTCATTATATCTGTTGTATACTACCAAGTTGAAAAACTATTTCATTGGAAAATGGCAGCAGTACATCTAGGCTTCATTTCAATATATTTCACAATTCTGACATTTATCTTTTGAGTAAAAATATTGCTATTTGAAAGTTATACATGATCTAGATCAGTGGTTCTCAACCTTTTTAATGCCGCGACCCCAACCGGTCGTAAGTCGAGGACTAAACCGGTCGTAAGTCGAGGACTAAACCGGTCGTAAGTCGAGGACTACCCAACCGGTCGTAAGTCGAGGACTTTCCCTGCCCGGGAGTGCCGCGCATGGGTGGTTCTGCCCCCTGCGTCAGCCGAGGCGTAGCTGGCAAGCGGCAGAGACGGAGCAGGCCAACCACCAGCTGGCCCAGCCCAAGGGAGGTAAGGCACCCGCTGGAAAAGGGGAAAAAAATGGCGGGGAAAAAAATGGCAGACAAAAAAAATGGCGGACAGCCTTGCTTGGCGACCCCCATGAAATGGTCGATCGACCCCAAATGGGGTCCCGACCCACAGGTTGAGAACCACTGATCTAGATATTATTAAACAATTTCATATTTAATGCTTTTAAAAAGATGTAAAATAGGTTTCAGAAATGTAAAGCTATTGTAATGGTTTTGCATAAGTTTACTACCTTCAGATTTCTTACAGCGCAATTTCTGACACCGTTAAGTTGTGATTTAATGTCATTTGTATTTTAAACTCAAAATTCAGAATTTTGATCACTACATCTTTTCAGTTTTGGTAGGCAGTACATATGTACATTTGTATTTAGAACATTGAAGCAATTCATCTAAAATCTATCTAAAGCTACATTCCTACATCCATTATCTGTCTGTGATTTCTGACACACTGTCCTCCATTATGAAATCAAATCATCTCAAATGCCCCTTTATGCCATGGTATCTTTTACTTGCATTGCCTTTGCTGTATATGTTTTCAAGGTATCTAATACATAACTGCCGAATTGCAGAGGACACCATGCAAACATCGGAAAAGGATCCTCTGGCACTTGCTATGTAATATTTATTTATCATATTTACCTATTCCGGTCAGTCAAATAATTGGAATGACATGGAAATTTAAAATGAAAAAAATGTTTTCTCATCACTTGGTTTTGATAGTTCAGCACTTAGGAAATATCTGATATATTTTTCTACCAAATTCTACCCATATACATTATTGTAAACAGAGCAATTAAAATATCAGACCATATTTGGAACTGAGCACAATACAGGCTTCTAAAATAGCATTTCCATACTTACTGTTTATTTCAGTTCCTTATACTCATTTTTCTTTAAGTGAGCCTTTTACTGTGGTTCCAATAATATTTCCATCTCATCAAAATTCCGATTTTGAATCTAGTATGACAGATCAGTTTAACACTGTCAAAGCCATAGGGTTTTAAATGCCACTTCTTTAGAAAAGACCTTATAAAATCAAAAACCCAGACACCATGACTTTGCTACAAACAGGAGCACAACATATCAGAAAGCATTGACAACTAATATGTTTCAAACCTCTTTAGATCACTATGAACTCAGCTATGCTAGCTCACTTCCATTTTATTGTGTCTAATGAGCAGAATAATAAATACATTCTGAAAACTAGAAAACATATTTAGCTACCTGAATTCAATTAAAAATAGAACTGCTATATGTAATGTGAATCTATTATACTATAATCAATCTGCAATACTGAGAAGTTGGGTTGATAAGCAAATTAAAAATTTATGAATTTATTTTATAAATATGTAAAATTTGAAATTATAAGATAAATAGTCTTTAAAAATATGCCATGAAAAAATAGCAAAACAAATCCTAGAACATTCTTTACATACTTGGTAACAAATTATTTATAATTTAAATGAATGCAAATTAATATTGAATTAGTGGAGTAAGCAAGAGACATATTAAAATATTTTATGTAGATTATTGACATACCTAAATAAGATGGGATTGTATAGATCAAATGTCCAATTCATGTCCCCTCCATTCCTTCTCTTCGATAGGTTATTCATACCTAGCTCCCTCAACCATACAAAACAAAACAAAAGGACCAACAGTGAATTTTTATTTATCTTTATAAAGTTAAGCAAGCTAGATATGTTTAACCTATCGAAGAGAAGAATTGGAGGGACATGAATTGGACATTTTAAAGAAGAAATTTTTCTGGAATGGTATATACGGTATACTGCTCAAGCAGGGGGTTGGACTAGAACAGGGGTCCCCAAACATAACAATATAACATACAATAAATATAATAAATATAATTTCCTTGGACAATCTCACCAAGGTATTCACCTTCTGTGTTACTGGAAGGCTTTAGTTTTAACCATAGAATGGAAGCTGTTTTATTCTTAATATTTCTAATTCAATTTAATTCTTCTTCTGGCATAATTTGCTATTATTTTCCCATTCCTCAGAAACAATTGGTCAATTTTTTGTGGTCCCTGAATATAATTAGAGCTCAGAATATGTTGTACAATCTTCCTTAAAACTATTTTCTTTCTCTAATTATTCAGCAATCCTTGCGATTTTTCTAAGCTTGTCTCTACCTCTTATGTGATAGTACTGCAATACCATTTTAAATACTTAAGAATTCACAACTATTCCCAACTTAAGCAACATTATGCGATAAGGAATAAATTGTAGTTGTTAAAATATCATAATTTCAAACTCTACACAAACATATGAGATAAAATCTGACAGTACTTAAAACTCAGGTTGTAAGTTAATTATTACTATAATTGGTCTACCCATGTAGGAAACACTATATAAATACTGCCTTCCATGAGACTAATACAGACATAAAAGGATGATGTCCTCTTCTACAATTAGAACAATCTCATTTTTTAATAATGGGAAAACATGATTTTTCATGAGTAATCTCTGTCCAGTTAAACAGCAAGTGATATTTAAATTCACAATTGGAACTCTAAGCATAGTCAAGAAGATGGAAAAGGATCAACACATAAGATACCATTGACAAAGGCTCAAGAGTTTCTGGTAGTTATGGATTCTCACTGAGCTTTAGGATCAGATTTTATAAGACAAGACATACTGGACAGCTGCATAAAGTAGGATTCCCAGAATCTACTTTCTACCTTTCTGTCTTTGTAACCTAATTCTTAGGTTTCACAGACCAGTTTCACATTAAATCATCTTGTCCTGTGTTAGCAAGATTTATATAATGCAGTAATCAATACAGTAACAAAGTATGCAGCAATTCTTAATAGCCACATTCCAGGCAATCTTAAATTAAGAATACCCTGCCTGAGATTAGTGCCTGAAATGCAGTGATACAGTTTTTATTTTTGAACTGAAACTTGCCTTGCATTAAATTTCAATAAAAGATGGATAATAGAGTTTGCTAAAACTGTTGATCTGCTACTTTAAATGGAACCATCAAATACTAATCTAAATACTAAGATCTGTATTTTATTTTTTTATTTTGAAGAAAAATCCTTTTGTATGAAATTCATATTTTAATTATAACTCAGTATTGATGTACTGTCCATATCTCTGATAGTTTCACTAACATAGCCAACGCTAAACCTTCTCTTGAAATATTATAAAACTGCTATTCTATAAAGCTTTGTTGTAGATATGAGGGAGATAATTTGGACAAACTTTATCATTTCATGCTTCCAAACATGTTAATATATTTACTTTCTGCTTCATTTGGAACAACATGGGAAACGTAGCATAGAAATTATGTGAACTCATCAATACTCACACAAACACAGACACACACACACCAATCCATAATATATTTGCAGCAGCAATTTCAGAAACAA